GAAATCTACGTATTTTAATCTCAAAACTACGTATTGTGGTCTTTCTTTTATGTATTGCATTATGACGTTTTATGAAAAATCTGTACGTGATGAAGAAAACTGGATATCATTTTTAATTCGGTGTACAGAAATTACTATATAACATGTAAAAATTTCAAGACAATAAAACCATCGCAGGTCTTTCTTATTACCAACATTAAGGTTTTGGCGAAATATTGCATTGTAAGATAGTGATGAGAATTTGGATTAAAATTAAGTTAAATAATTAAGTAGAGAAAGTTAACCTGATAAATGATAATATGTGAGAATTTACTTTGATGCAGAGGTATATCTAAAGAGAAAACTAATTTGATAAAGATAATTTCAGGAAACATAAATAAACTGATACCAATCTGCCCTTGAAACATATTACACATATAATAACCCTCTTTTATTCTTCATAACACATCACCCTGTCACTATTTCTTTCTTTAACAGTGATTTCGTTCAATTTATTGTTTTGAAACATCGTTTTAGTAAGAATGTGCACTGTATAGAGACAGATTTTATCGGTAGATGGAATCAATTTTTTTCAAAGGAAGGGTGTTTTGCTGGTATATTTTTGCTTTACTTGAACTCGTTACAAAAAGTGCACGTGCTCTGAAATTCTTCACTGCTTTCCGAATCTTTAGAATATTTACTGAAGTTACTAGGTTCCATCTTTCATCTTATGAATATATCAAAGTGTAAAGAAGCCAAGAATTGATGTAAGCAACATTTTAAAGAGTTAACAATACTATAGGAACCAATAATTCGCAATTTTAATACCATTACGATATTTGATTTGTGATTGTTATTAGTTCTGACATGAAATTGAAGTACATATTAGTGTATCTTTATCTGATAAGGATCAAAGTGGGTTTAATGGTTAAGGCTGCGAAAGGAACGTTTTTCTAATACTCCTCAAACTTTGGTTACATAACTTAAGGTTGGTTTCAGTGATCTTCAGAGGTGATTAAAACTTATAGATGCCCTATAGCTCTGCTCTATAGCTAGAGGAAAGGAAAAGTTGTGTTATTATTTTAAGTATTGCAAAAAAGCAAAAGCAAAAAGAAACAACAACAGTAAATAAAGATATTATGTTAGCCATTTTAATAATTAAGATATTCTGCGTAAGCTTTGGTTTTCTTGAAGATCAAATGGTAAGTTCATATCTTATGCCACCTGGTGGCTTAGCAAAAGGATTGTTTGTTTTGAAGTTAAGCACAAAGCTACACAATGGGCTACCTGTGCTCTGCCAACCACGGGGTATCGAAACCCGGTTTATAGCGTTGTAAGTCCGCAGACATCCTGCTGTGCCACTGGGGGCAGGATCGAAGGCTATAAATGCTAAAATTCGAGGTTCGATCACTTTGGTGGGTACAGTACAAATAGGTCACTGCACAGCTTTGTGCTTAACAGCAAACGAACAAACGTGTCTTAAAAAAGTATTGTATATTTAAAATATATTTCCTAATATTCCACACTTAATACATTTTCTTAATACACGTCCCACACGTATACGCTTTCTTGATGCATACCTCACAGTTAATACATTTTCCATACATATTCCACACTTAATACAATTTTCAGCACATATTCCCATTTAATACATGTTTCGCACTTAATACATTTTCTTAATATACATTCGACACTAAATACATTTTTGATACATATTTCACACTTAATACATTTTATTAAAATACATCACACACTTAATAGATATTTTAATACATATTTCACACTTAATACATTTTATTTATATACATCCTACACATAAGACATTTTATTAATATACATCCTACACTTAAGACATTTTATTAATATACATTCTACACTTAAGACATATTTGGATACATATTTCACACTCAATACATTTTTCAATACATATTTCACACTTAATACATTTTTCAATATATATTCCACACTTAATGCATCATATGTTTTCAATGACAACTTAAATTTTATAATACTCTGTATATCAAAAAATAAAGTTTAACACTATCCCTATTATAATTTGATAAACGTACAAAGAGAGCAACTTATTTTATTTTCGAATTAATGTTATTAGAAAGTAGATAGCTCGTCTGCCTTTTCAGTTTTATGTCATCTAAATTTAAGTATATTTCATATTGGGGAATAACTCTATTTTCCTTAAATTGTAGCTTTGCACATGTATCAAATGAGCCTCTTGTATGTGAGATATTCCTAAATTAAAATATTATATTTGCAGGCATGTACCATGATGCAGGTGTCTCGACTTGAAAATTAATCACAATTCTTTGAAGTACTATGGAAATATAGCTTTTTAATAAGTAATATTCAAAATTAGTTATGTTGATTGGCTGAAACTCTGCCCTTAACATAAGCTCGCTAAAAAGAAATCAATTTTATCTGACTCATCACTAAAACGATCCCACTGAACTATTGTATCATTCAGTTTCATTACATTTTTTATTATGCTACATCCGAGTTTCCCTATTCTGTAATAAATGTGTCTCTGGCTGGTGATAACACAAAAGTACGTTTAGAAAGCGTTCATTTATGGTACATAAGGATACTTTTCTAGCCCTACATATGATAAATGAATCTATTTTATAACTAATAATTCCCGAACGTGTAAGAACAAAACATAACAAGCGTTTATAAATGTATACTAAAGCACGTGAGAAATGTTTGAACAAAGCAGTATACTGTAACCTTATTATGAGAACGTGTATTTTAATTCAGTGCGATAGAACTTGCAAAAATTAATGTAAATAATTATTGTTGTTTCCTTAATTCAAAGTTATACAATGGGATATCTGCATTCTGTCTACACCAGGGAATCGAGCCTCGGATTTGAGCACTTTAAGTCCTTAAAACTTACCAGTGATCCACGAGGGGACATATATATATATATATATAGTTCAATAATCAAACTACAGTGTACATAATACAGAAGGGTGTGCTTTGTACACACACACAGACTTCCATATATATATATATGAAACAACAACAGTAAAATACTCCAGATTCTGTACGATAATTGTTCAAGATAAATACCCATTAGTAAATTATCAGACTTTCAGTTGATATTGTTCGAAATACTCACTAACAAGGAAGGAGTAAGCATCGTAAATAGATTTTCAAGGTGATTTACTTAAATAATTTAATTCTAAGGGAGAATTTATTTTCTATCTTGAACATACTTCACAACAGAAAACAGGTGAAACATATATCAAATCTGTCACGGCAATATTCGTCTTTTATTTTTTGCATATTTCAGATCTAGACAATCTTGTTTCATATATGCTGTAGATAATTAAAATTAAGTTGAGTAGTACTTCAGCTAGTAAAAACTTATATTGATTATAGTAAAATGTATCATTACACATCAGATATTTTTGTTTCACTTCATATAATAAAGATACACAATGTTGAACACTTAAAGTTAGAAGAACAGTATTATTTTTTAATGAATAGCTTTACATTTTTTGAGAAAATTGGTGTCGTGCTTTTTACGGTATTCTAACTACAGACGACAAATAAAATATTCAATTTGATAAAACTGAATAACCTGTAGATATTTAGATACTAATATTAGAATGTAAGTTGTTGTGCGCAAAAGTTGAGAGAGTGTCACGAGATTAGTTTGTTTTAGGCGTTAAAAAAGAAAGTACATTCTATTAATACCATACCATTAGTTACAACTTTAGGCATTAAAAAAGAAAGTACATTCTACTAATACCATACCATTAGTTACAACTTTAGGCGTTAAAAAAGAAAGTACATTCTACTAATACCATACCATTAGTTACAGCTTCAGAGCGAAGTTCTATAATCCATGCCAACACTTTTAACTGAACGTAATTAAAGAATGGGGAAACGCATACTCTTATGTTTTATTGTTTATGAACAAAGAGTGTAAAGGGAAGAACTGTTCCGAAATGTTGGCTGCCTGGGAACAAATTAAATTTAAAACTAAATGTTTTCCAGAAGCTAAAAATGGGATAAAATGTCTATTAAACATTTTGCATTACCAAAAGACAAACAAAAAAAGCAACTAAAAATATAATTTTAAAAATAAAAGGAGCACTTATGCTAGTAATGCGTAATTGTGCAGGAACTTACTTATTCATGATGATATAAAATATTTTGATAGTTGGTATCAAGGTAGTATCATGATTACTGGATTTTCTCCTTCTTGTAGGTACTAGACTAGTTTACACCGCCGAATGGATCCTTGTGGATACTAGTAATTAAACATTAAGTAACAATCTTAGTTTACTTGCTTGGTGGCTAAGAACGTTACTGGCCTAAAATGTTTAGGGTTTTTCATTTCAATAACATTTTTACAATACGAATTTAATGCTTGTCTTCTTTCAGAGGCGCCAGTGGTTCAGCGGCATGTCTGTGGACTTACAACGCTAAAAATTGGGTTTCGATTCCCGTGGTTGACACAGAACAGGTATCCCATTGTGTAGCTTTGTGATTAATTACAAACAATCTTCCAGAGGCTGAAGTTGTGTTTCTTATCTTTTCATTCGAAAGTTTCTATAATATTATCTCATTAAGAAAGTAATGGCATGTTTTAAATTGTTCAGGAAATCAATTTTACCTAAAGTCAACGTTGATATGGTATTTAAAAAATTTTCTAGTTCAGACATATCAGAAATTTTCACCATTATATTTTGAGTTCTGTTTTGCACATACTGTAACAAAAAAAAATCTCAACAGAAGGAAATTTCAGATATTATTCTAATTTTCTGTTATAAAACCTTTACCCACATCAAAATGAATAATTCCCTTTCGTCAAAACAGATGGTAAAATTTTAACTTACAAAACAGCGAAATTTGTCGTCATCTGTTTTCGTTCCTTTGTGTTCCATTTTACCCACCAGGTAGCGGGTCGACCCTTCTTTCCATGAAGCCAAACACGTTAATCTCTCCTCTGCATAGGTAAAAAAAAAGGAAAACCAACAAGAAGTAATTAAATGTTTGATTTATCAATGATATAAAAATATGTATTAAAAAGTTGTATTTTGAGTTTTTCAAATACATACTTGGAATATAAATTGTCAATAGTACAAGTTTTTGAACAACCATTCTAACTATGTGAACGATTGTACCAATATATATACAAGTATGTATTCTGAGCAATGTTCAGTCGTTTCAAACTATTTAGTGTTATCCAATTTTGTATGATTATTCAATAGATGGCCAATATTGAAACCTAAGGCAATATCTCATACAGCGAAGTAAAAGAATTTCCTAAAAGCAATATATCTTCTTAAAAGAACGTTACGATCAATAAACCAGAAGAGGCAAACTTGGATCAACGCCATAACTCCCCCACGGCTCATTACTTACAGATATGTACACAATTCTTTGTTGTTTTGGACAGGAATATGTTCAGTATGAGTGTTTCTCTGTTTTTTACTTCCATAAAATCATCACAGCGTATAAATAATTCTGAATTATGATGTGAATTTTGTTCCCAATCTCAGGCCATTACTAACGCACTATTGATTAGGATATTAGTACATAATGAATACATTTTCGTGACTAACAAATACGAAACGTGATTGAAAAGCTTTAGAACTGTGATTTTTTTCTCTCTGTAGAAACTTCGTGTATACTATTACGTAGCAAATTTATTTCAGAAATCATTTCATTTGATACAGTTTTAAGGGAACTTAAATATGCAGATAGTTGCTCAAAGAGTATTTTAATGTTTTCTTTTCAGTTATGTCGCATGCAGTAAAACCGAAAATAAAATTAAAAACCAATAAAAGCCACGGAATTGTATTTTAATTGTATTCAATCATAATTTATTTATAGTTTACAAGCCCTAAATAGTTAAGTATGAAGAATGAACGCTTCGATAACGTTGAATATACAAAATACTAAACTCATGCTGAAACTCAACAACACTGTAAGTTGGGATATGAGTACACAACTCATCTATCTAGTGATATAGCAGTGGGTAGAAATAGGCTATTCCTGTCTTCACTCAACAAAAATTTTCCTGCAAATGATGCGTAAAGAATCATAAATGATGCAAAATACTAGATTTTCTAGATTGAATTCCAAATTAATCTGCCATCTTTTACTCGAATGTATATGTAAATATATAGGTATATCATAAAAGGAGTCACTTATTATCCCCGTTTTTCTAAATAATATATAAATTAGAATCTATATCGAAATTTCACGTAATAGAAGTGCAAAAGCCGCTCAGATGGTTATATGTAAATTATAATGAAACAAAATAATAAAGATATGGACTTTGTTTTTATCTAATCCGTGTTTACTGTATCGAAAATATCATTATAGTTTAGAGAGGCCGTAAAGACACATTTCAATGGCTCAATCTAATAATTCTAGCGATTAACAATATTTATTTAAATGTCAAAATGAATGATAGTCCATTGTTGTATGGATCAGTGAAGTAATTATATTATTAAAACTACTTGTTCCATAGGAATGAACTTACAGTAAACTCTATTACAAAAAGAATAGAACTTGAAAAAAACAACAACAGATATCTGTTAGGTCAGCTACTGTTTCAGTGTTTTTTGTTGATAATAAGGTATATGAAAAGGATGTGTTCCAAATTCATTGTGTGGTAGAAAATGATATTAAGTTTTAATGTGTAATGAAGTAGACCCTACGTGTTTTAACCTTTACAGATAATCAATCGCTATTTTGTGTCTCGTTTGTTTATGTGTGGTCTCGCGATCTACAGTATCACTCCAAATCGAGGTCTGGACATTCGCAAGTATTGACCAAACATTGCATCTTCTGTAGTACCAGCTGCTGTACTAGGGGAAGGAATTCTCTGAAACGTTTTTTTTTCTTTTGCAATATTTTATGCAACGTCTTCGTCGTCTGTGGTTCAGAATGAGCAGCAACAACAGCTTTTCATTTTCTCTGACCGACAGTTTGTTTGTGGCTATCGAAGATAGAACGCAGTAGTTCGGATGCTGTATAACTTGTGCCGCATGTGTCACTTGACATTGGTTTCTATGGAGCTGAAAGTATCCTTTTACACTCGAAAAATCGCATCACGTCAGATGTACAGAAATATCTAAGCTTTACGTACACCCTCATGCAGACGAACTCTGAAAAAATAGCCCCCTTTTCATGCATCTAATACTTTATTTTATTTATTTCTAAGTTTGAGGACGGGCCTAATTATACATGGTTTTGAAAGCAAATATCTCAGATATCCAGTTCTTAAAATCCAAAGCTAAAACTTAAGTTTATTAGTATGAAAATAAAGACTGTTAAAATAAGAAGAGAAAAAAACAATTTTCGATTCTTGGCAGATTTTTTTTTATCTTAAGTAAATACCCCATTATTAGGCTTACTTATGAATTGTTCTATTATTAACAAATATGAAAATCTGTAGAATTCCTAAAATTTTATCCATTCTTAGAAACCAAAAATATTTAAACAAAGAAAATTAGGTTTCATACTATTGATATAGATTTTTTCTACAACTACAATTATTGATTACTGAAATATACTGCTATTTCGGATTCGCGTCTTTTTTTTCAAAAAAATATAAATTTTAATTACTTAAGATATCTATGAGCTGGCAGTTGGAACATCCTTCCTTCAAGAACAATAAAATTTACCTTCACGTTAAAAAGTAACAATGATTTTTCATACTCCAATAATTACGGAAATGATAAATCATCATCAGTGTCAAGAATGGAAATTCTGAGCTTGATATGCGGAAAACAGATTAAATATGATGACAATATTTAGGCCTCCTTCGTTGTATGCAACATTTCCAACATGATTAATTTTTTTGTGTTCCGATATATTATATTGGTTATAAAAACTAAATCGAATTATTAATTAGTAAATACAAGAAAAGGCCAGGTAAATGAACAGAAAATTTTTGCATGCTTATATTTTAATTGAATTAATACATAAACCTTTTTCCGCGAAGTAAATTACATTAACAAACACAGAAAAAACGATAAACCTTAGCGTCTTTGACAGAATAATCAGTTTTCTTCAGGGTTAAGTGTGATTTCAAGTCAGAAATCTTAAGATGTTAGTGTACATATACAATACTTTCGTGTAGAGATGAGGGCAACGTTAACATATAGTTGTTGTTAAGCACAAAACTATACAATGGGCTATCTGTTCTGCGCCTACAATGATTAAATCCGTCACACTATAACTCTCCCATAGCTGAAATGGCGACCTACTTGGCCAACGAAATTCGAATCCACGACCCGCAGATAACGAGTCGAGCGTCTCAACTACCTGGCCATTCTAGGCCGGCTTGCTTTGAAGTTAACTTTGAGCTTCGGTGACCTACAAGCACTATATGTGTACACACACACACACATGTAGGCTTAGCAAATATTTATAGACAGTTAACTCAATTTTACACAACTAAACTGCTTTAAAATAAAAGGAAAGAAAAATAACAATCCTATTGGGCTGATTGTGAGGCTATATATAGATTTGCCATCCGCTGGCTCAATGGTACGTCTGATGTCTTATAACGCTAAAAATCGAATTTCTATACTCGAGATGGGCACAACGCAGATATCACATTGTGTAGCTTTGTGCTTAACAAACAATAGACAAATATATAGATTTTTAAGTCGTAAAGTGCTTGTTTGAGTCTAACTGGTATTTGCATCACTTTGTCCGGCAAATGGTACTACTGGGAGATTACGTAAGTTGGTGGAGGGATAAATCACATCTATCTTCCTCAGTATATTTTACATTTTAGTTAACATTTCCGTGCGCACATATAGCGTACAGGTTAATTATTGTGTAAACGGTAAAAATTATTTAAAGAGAAATGTACTATCTACTTAATACGTTAGGGCGATCGGATATCAATCGTTGTCACGGCCCATGCCATCAATTAAGCGTGATTATTAATTAGTTGTTTTTTGTGTTTTTTTTAAAACTTGATCCTAATTACTAACTAGTTTGTGCTTTACGTTTAGGCTGCTAATATGCTGCAGTTTTTAGCGAACTTCTGAAAAAAGATTTTGTTTGTGATTGTGGCTGATGAACTATCGACTCGCCTGGGGTGTCTTCCGTTTGGATTTGATCAGCTAACTATTTGAAATATTTCCAGAGGGGGTATCTAGATTTTGATAGCTTCTATGCTAGTTTGACTTTGTGTGTTATCAGTTAGATGGATGTAGAAGGGTTCGATCATCTTGTGTTATCAGTTAGTTGAATGTATAAGGGTTCGATTATATTGTGTTATCAGTTAAGTGGATGTAGAAGGTTCGATCATATTTATTTTTCTTGAATATGGTGAATTCATATCTGTTTTAAGTACCAGGATTTGTCTGTGTTGACGACACATTCTTAATATGGCAACACCATACAAAATTCACTAATTACCTGAATAGACAATATTGAACGATACAATTTACAAAATAAATTGAAAAGGATAAGAAATTCCTTTTCCTAGACGTAAGGGTTACCATGAGATGTAACCCATATACCCAGGCGTTCATAGAATATCTGCAGGCACTGTTGATACTTCGACTATAAATAAAACCACCCGACAATGTGAAGACTTTCTAGTTTCCATTATGAACAAGATTGGTAATACAGAAAAAAGAAGACAAACTCGTCACTACAATCTTCCTTTAGAATGGATATCCATTATGAACAAGATTGGTAATACAGAAGAAAGAAGACAAACTCATCACTACAATCTTCCTTTAGAATGGATATCCATTATGAAATATATTTGTAGTATAGAAGAAAGAAGACAAACTCGTCACTACAATCTTCCTTTAGAATGGATATCCATTATGAACAAGATTTGTAATATAGAAGAAAGAAGACAAACCCATCACTACAATCTTCCTCGAGAATGGATATCCATTATGAAAAATATCTGTAATATAGAAGAAAGAAGACAAACTCGTCACTACAATCTTCCTTAAG